AATGCATATTCAGATACCTATCCGGGCTTTTGAACTTAACAAAGCAGCTAAATCTTGAAGAAAATTTTTCATGTTCATGTGTAACTCTGGAAATTTTAGTCATACATCAGGAAAAGCCGGTCAGAGCATTTCGGAGCAGTGTGCACATATTAGATTGTAAAACAGTGAACATTCTTAACAACAAGCGTCCGGCAGAACTGTGCAAAGTGCTTGGTTGACTGAAACGGCTAACTGAAGAGCGCTGCTTATTTATCCCTATCTTAGCAGTGTTTCTATATTTGTTTCAGTTGCAGTAGTTCATAGAGTCGCTCTCTCACTGCGAGACTGGCAACTTTCCTTATTACTTTGGCCAGTGCTTCACTATCTAGTGGTCAGCCTACTTGCACTCCTGATATTTTTTTCCATTTCTGATATTCGTTTCGCTTTTGAGCGGTCCTCCTGACACAAGTATTTGACAAAATGGTTTCGAAATGACCTTGCTGCCTGCTGAGCGTCATATAACTGCGAACACGTTGCCACTCCTAAACTACAATAAAGTACACTGTAAACGAGAAGTACTGAAGACTTCGCAAGTGTGCATGTTTTGACCTGTCCCAGATGCTCCGTAAATAATTCATCCAATAATTCTAGAAGTGATTCAAACCGTAAGGTCTAGCAAAGAAATACAATTCCTTTAATTACCATTTTGCAGCAACCATCCTCATGAAAGTAAAGCTTTCTATTCAATCTCGTTTCTGAGTTAAAGGGGTACCAACAGCGTCTAGCTTGAAATTCCATTTGCTCGTAAGTGAAACTTAGGCGCGCCTGGTGCATCTTTTCCAGAAACTCATTTTTTTCATGGGCAATTTTTAAGCTCATTACTATGTTGCAGATGTATATTCATTCAACAGATGTTAATAGGACACTGCAAAGTGCAATATCAAATTTGATTGGAATGTACTATAACAGTACAGCAGCAAAGCCTGGCATTGATTATCCTGAAATTCCTGAGTGGCCCCATGGATATGTACCGATTCCCTTGCACACAGTTATTCGAAAAACTGATTTTGTTCGTCTCCTTACATTTGTTTTAAATGCATATGAACTGAAAAAAAAAAACGTCGCGGGAAAACTTATGTTTCCGTGCTGAGCCTTGCTAATTGAAAAAGCTAAAGAAGTTGCTCAAAAATCCGCGCTAAACTAAAACCCTAGCGTCAATAGCATTTCCAAATTGATGCCACTTATAATAAATCAAACAATCAGTCTCTCGGTTAAATAAGCAGTGTGTAAGATTTTATAAGATTGCAAATTTATCTGATCCATTACAAAATGTAATTTTCAAACAATCGGACCAGATATTTCATTGCGACAGCACCAGAATTCAAAATCTGGCGAGCAAGACAAGTTTTTTGCCTTGTTGACAACTGCTGGACGTCGCGTATTAGTGACTAACAGTAGTGAGAAAGTAGACGACAGCTTGAATGATTCCAAGCAAGTAGCGCACATGCATCGAACAACCGATGAGCACTAACTGAATTTACACAGCTTAGGAACAGAAGCGTCTGATCGTAGCTGTGACCGTTGTATGAAAGCACTGCAGTAAAATCATTAACACGCGATATCCAAATACAGAGGTCGTGGTGTTCTTCGCGTAATAAATCAAATAATAATTTGTAGTTTTTATTTTTGTCAGAAGTCAAAAATTCAAACTGCACCTCTACACGCATATGCCTCATTTCCACTCATAATTTTTCGAAGACAAAATTTCTTATTCTAACAAAACGGCGAGAATTCTTCGATTAAAATGATCAAGTTTTCGAGCGATTTTAATTAATTTGTTTATGTTTAGGTGGCAAACCCGCTGTACAATTGCAACCGACGTGAATGGTTGTTGAAACAGGCTAAAAAAACACCCCGGCTCAAGGAATTGAAACGAAATAGTCAGGTTCTCAAAACAAAAACTTTATCGCAAAAATTTTTTTAACAACAGTACAGCATGACGCATGCTAAATTTTTCCGAAGAAACTGAGAGAGTTCAGCCTGTGCGTGGGTTATTTTCTGTTTGGAAAAAGTGGAAGTCCAAAAAGGGATAACTTTATTCGAAGAAGCGTCGAAGTCTTAACAACTCGAAAGTAATGTTTCTCGAGTTTCTCAAGCTTTTTTCCCTATGTTACTCAAGAAGCTCGTTCATCCAAATTCCAAGCTTGTTGGAGATTCCAAATTTAGGTTTGGCAGCTACTGCTTACTGTTAGTAAAAGCTCAGTCGCTCGAATCACAGCATTTTCCTTCCTTAAGGATAGGAATACGGAGAAGACAATGATTTCTGGATCTAGCTAATGTTTTTATTATCATTTACAGTCAAAATTTTCTGTTTTAATTGGGATAATAATCCCTAATTTTAGGAACTGCTGCAAAACTTGACGCGAATCTGTGGCCAAAAAGTAACTCTGGATAATATATGGGTGATACAGCAAGCAGCTGAAATTGAGGTACGGTACAATGCCCGCCTGAAAGCTGCCAATAAGTGTATGGGAAACGCTCATTTAACAGATCTGTAATCAAAACGTAAATGGACGTAAATAAAGGTAAAAGAACCAAGCATAAAACACTAGTAAATTAAAAAAGGATGAAAGGAAAGTGGGGCCATTTATGTAAACATACGTATACAGGCAAAATACATAATAATATTAATAATAGTACTAATAATAATATTAATGACATCAATAATAGTATTAATGATAATAATGACAATAATAACGATAACAGCAATAATAATAACAACGATAATAGCAATGATGATGACAATAAAAATAAT